TAGTCCAGGTATTACAACCCATCTGAAGAGGTAAGAGAGGGGAGAGAGAAAGGAATAGGGGGATGAGGAAGAGGAAGGTGAGGAAGAGGAAAGATTGAGGATGAAGAAAAAGAGAAGGTGAATGAAGAGGCAATGATTATATGGTAGACCTTCCTGAGTCATGGAGAGGTGGCCAGTGACCATTAATAAGACACTAGTCACATTCTGAGCCAGCTGATTGTGCTGCTGCCTGGCCTTGGGCAGCAGGCATCGTGAGACCACACCAGCTCTAAGCAAAGCCCTCCACTCCGAGGTCAGGACCCTCTAGCCACACATCCCCCAGCCTCCTCTCCCATGGCCTGGGACTCTCTTGTCTCTGGCTCTCAATCCAGAGGAGGCTGTGGGGAGGCTGAACTGGCTATGGGTGGCCTGGCTGCCTCCTCCCTACCTGGGCAGGTGGCCAAGGTACAGGGGCCAAGGCACAGGGGCTGGTTGCAGAAGAAAATGAACTCGGTCCCTCCCACATCCACAGTCTACTCAATCAGGGGACAGATAAAGGTAATTCTGAGCAACCCAAACCCTCCAAATAGAGGGTACAAGATAAAAACATGAACTTGGGTATTCAGAGAACAAGAGACCAGTTCAGGCCAAGCCTTGTCCTAGAACATCTACCCAAATCTTCTTCAAGTTGCTCTGGGGAATGTCAGGCCCCATTTCCTGTACAGAACTCAGAGGCTCTGACATTATTTGCCAGCCTCTGCCTACCAGCTGCCTAGCCTAGGAAGGATTCAAGTCCTGCCTTCAAGCAACCCTGGGACTGAGCTGAGATAGTTTAGGAGCTTGAGCAAAGATTCCAGCTCCTCGTGGGATTTTCTGGGTCAAATATCAGCTGATATAGCTCACATGGAGGCTGGGCTCGGATGGAGATATCAGGTGGAGGGAGTGCAGGGGCCTAGGGGCTGAAGCCAGAAGGGCCCTGAGAAGGTGAGGTATGGCCAGACAAGGTCAGAGTCCTTCCTTTTCTTTATGAAGTTTTCATAGCACTTTAAATAACAGTTACTCGTCTATAAAATTACAATGTATGGGTTCAAATAGGAACTGTTTATAGCCATGACTGGCACACAAGAGGACTCCATACATATGACTGTTGAGAAGGCAGTGAGCATTGTGGTTGGGCAAAAAACTAACACACACAGTGGGTGGCTCACATCAGGACAAGCTTTGTAGCTCTGGACACATCTCTTTACCTCATTGTACCTCATTTTCTCACCTACAGACTGGGGATAATAGCAAGGTGGTTGTGAAAATTAAATAAATTAAAATGAGCAAAGGATGACAACAACACTGCCTGGTCTATGGATAGTACCAAGCCTGTATTTACCTTTATTACTGTGGTGTCAGAATGAAGACAGGCACACCTGTCAGGGAACTTGCTGGCTGCAAGCATCCCTCATTCATTCCATGGACGATAGCTGGCTTTTAGGAAAGCAGCAAGTGCCTTGCTCGGGGTCAGACAGCCCATGGTCAAGGTCAAGATCTGCCACTCAAAACCTCTGTGACCTTGAGCTAGTGACTTACCCTTGCTGAACATCAATTTCTCCTAGGCCTATCCTAAGAGAGTCGTATTGGGAGTGAAGGAGACAGCCAACCTCAGTGTCTTAGTTTGAATTCCCGAGAAGCAGACCCCAATGCAGGGTGTGAAGTGCAAATACTTCATTTGGAGGCGATCCTAAGACAAGAAGTCAACAGCCAGTTCTATCTTTGGGTAGTGATCTCAGGGAACACCAGCAGGACGGTGAGAAGTGAGGTGGGAAGGGGAGGCAGAAGTAAAAGGGGACTGGGTGAAGGAAATTTGGACTGTGGAACAGTGTGGCTCAGCCTGCTGGGGGTTCTGGGAGCTAGCACTGCAGACACACCTCAGAGTCATCCCTCCCAGAGTGACAGGGCTGTGGTATATATATATCCAACAGCCACCCCTCACTGCCAGGGCTGTTTCCAAGGGCAGTGTTTCTCCAGAATGTCTGCACTATAGGAACCAGTACCAGGGACATGGGGAGGGGACCAACTCAGTAGCTCCACCTATGGGCACAGCCCAGTGTAGATGGGTACTTGTGCACACATTTGCATATCTAAACTGTGTTAATGACATACGCACAAACAAGCACAGTTATGTACACACATGCACACACATAGAGTACACATGTACACACATGTGGGAGACCAGTAACTGAAGCACTGAGAAGAAACCTTGATGTGAGCATGGTCATGTCAGGTCCTTTGTGCTGAGAAGGCAAGGCCCTGGCAGGATGGAAGTGAGCAAGGTTCAGTACGGCTGCACGTCCTGCGTGGGAAACAGGACGTGTTTACCTTTAGACAAGGACAGTCAGAGCAGACTCCTGCTCACTACGTGACTTAGCCCATGAGAACCTATCTTGACTTCTGCACATGCACTGAATAAATGAATGTGCTTGGATGCAGAGGGAGTCACAGGCATCTCTCATCAGGAGCATCAGACCCATCCAGTCCCAGCTTTTGTCTGTGTCTGTCTTTGTGTCTTTTTTCTAACCCCCAGTCACCCCTAGTCAGGTTAACAGACTTGCTCACGCTGGCTGTGACACATCCATTTCCACAAATGCGCACACTCAAAGACACACAGAGTCACACTCACAGTCTTTCACATTGAAGCAGTCCTTGGAGCCTACTGCCCCACACTGTCCAGCAGAGGAAGCCTCCTCTACGCTCAGGAGGGGAACAGTCCTCACAGCACCCAGAGACAGCACCAGGCTTGGGTGTTTTGAATTACTTGGCAGTTGTGACAGAATCTCCAGACCTACAGACACTTCCTACTCTCTCTCTCTTTATTCATTACCAATGCGATCCTTGGCAGAATCTCAAAGCCTGTTTGAGTGGGAATGAAGACATGAACACCCAGGTACAGATGAAACTATAAGCAGTTGGCTTCATCATGAAGTAAATAATGGAGCATCAACTAGTGAGAAAGTGAGGCCAAGGAAAGGATTGTTGTGTTTGAGGAAAGGTTATTGTTGGTACTCCAGTGGGAATAACACTGGGTCAGTACTAAAAGATCAATTAAATTTCAATATTCAATAGAACAGCAAAGTATGCACTATGAACAAACCTGACCTGTGGTCACTTTTTTTTATGGACTATGGGCTAAGAATGGTTTTTAAATTGAAATAAATGCTTGTAGGAGAAATAGAGGAAACAAGGTGGAACATGCAAGGCCTAAATTATTTACTATATATGGCCACTTCAGAAGAATATGGCAGCTCCTGCTATGTAAAATTATAAATTACTGGAAAATAAATGTCTTAAAGAATCAGTTTTTACAATAACATGCACCTGTAGAAATGTGCTGAGGTGTAAATCTAAGAAAGTATGTGCAGGATATCTACTGTAGAAACTTTAACACACTAATGAAAAAAATCCAAGAAGATCCAAAGAAATAGAGACATCTATAATGTTTATGGATAGGAAGCTCAATCTTGTTAAGATGTGGAAACTACTTAGCAATAATACAACATGTAATATGCAATATACTAATGAAGACAGTCAGACTCCAAAGATACACACCGTACAAACCCACTTATCCAACCTCAGTGAAAAAGTGTTACTATAGACAGAGAATAGGTTACTGGTTTCCACAAGTTAGGAGTGGAATGAAATTTATTAGTGCCAGGAAGACTGTTGTGATGGTGGTTACCCAACTCTAGGCATTTGTCATAACTCAGAATTGTACACCAAAGATAGTATACTGTACTTCTGAAAACTTCATTGTAATTTTAAGATGATTGGAGTAGCTATAGTCACATGTTATTTTCTAGGTATACCAAGAAAGGGTATGCCAAAAAGGTGTGTACTTAAAGGTGAAAAAAATGGGAAGGTGGAGAACCAATATTTTTTACTATGTGTTTTAATTTTTAAAGTAGTGAATGTAAAATTTATTACATTGAAAAGTTGTAGACACCACCTGTCAAAGAGTCTGGCCATTATGTCTGATTGGTCACCTCAGCAGATCTGATGTGCCTAGGTCTGAAAGCCACAGTGAAACACATTCTTCATAGGTAAGGAGCAGCCTCAGAAGCCAACCTGACAAACTCGGCCCCATTTGCCACTTACTGACCCAATGACAATAATGTCTATGTCTGAGTAAAGAGTTAATGTCTATGTCTGCTAGGCAGGCCCTCACCACTGGAGCCACTACCTCAGCAATCCAGTCCTCTTAACCAGACCAAAACGTCAGTAAGGGTGGAGTTTCCAAGCCAAGCTTGTTCCAGGAAATCCTACAAGGATATATGTGCATCCCTTGCTATGAAATGAAATCTCTAGTGCAAAAGTTATTTGAGAAGAGTAACAATTTTCATTGGCAATCATATCTCAAACCATCAATGTGCAGAAAGGTAATTCATGGAAATGAGAACAATACTCTGAAATTATTAAAGTAGTTTAAATGATTTTTCTAATATTATGCTTTTCTTTCTTTCTTTCTTTCTTTCTTTAAAAAAGGAATGACTAGAACTTAATACAAAGATTTAAGACCACATGATATGATAATTAACGTCCTAGAAATACATCAAGGTGGTGGAAACGTAGGGCAACTGCGGTTTTCCTCCCTGACAGAGTCTCAAACCTGCCTTTAACCCTGGTCCCCCTCTTCCACGAACACCTCGCCTCGTTTGCTTCCCAGAGAATGTACCATCAGCGTGGGTACCCTGTGGTCAACCAGAGGCAGTCAGACTCTTGGGCTCAGAGATACTAAATTCCTGCCTCCTCCACCCTAGGATCCCTACAGTCCCCTAGTGCCCACTACCATTGCTAGTGAGGCTCAGACACAGGTGACAGCACAGTTTATTACAAGGATTCAGCATGGTGGTGGGTGGGGTCAGGGGTTCCAGGGCAGACACGGGACAGCGTGGTCTTATCCCTGGGAATCTGCATGGTGGGTGGGTGGGGTTTGAGGTTGGAGGGCAGACGCAGGTGACAGCGTGGTCTTATCCCTGGGAAGCTGCTTGGTGGTGGGTGCCCACGGTCGGGTCCCGCAGGCTGTGGTCACCGAGCGCCCGCGCGCAGCGGCTCCACCCGCAGCCACAGCCCGCCCTCTGCGCGCAGGATCAGCTCAGGCTTCCTGCGCGGCTCCGCGTGGTCGGGCAGCACGCGGAAGCGCAGCAGCGTCAGCGCCAGCGCCACCTTCATCTCGCTCATGGCGAACGTCTGTCCGATGCAGTTCCTATGGGCGGGTGGAAGGATGACTGCCCGGGACCCCACTCGGGGCCCCAAGGCACCGACCCTATCCGGGGACCCCGCCCCACCTGCCTAGCCCCAGGGGCGTGGAGTGCCTCACGTGCTGGGACCCCGTGTGGACTACCATGGCCCCATGCCTGGCACAGACCCCAGACCCCAGACCCCAACTGAGAGCAGCAGCGAGGAGGGGCTCTGAGCGCCCCACGGTCAGCTCTGGTCCTTCGCAGCCCTATTCTCCAAAACTCTGCGGGAACCTGCACAGCTGAGGCAGGAAGGACACCTGGGACAACACCTGGGACACTGATCATCTCAACCCCCACCTCTTGTCCATTGTCACGTCAGCCTCCCACTGTCTGGTCTCACCTGGGCCCCGCAGAGAAGGGAATAAAAGCCATAGACGACCTGTCCTTGATGTTTTCTGGGTCAAAACGGGAGGGATCATAGACCTGCAGGACAGAAGGAGACAAGGTTGCTGCATGTAGTATACTGCACAGCGAGGAAGTGACAGGTCTGTCTGTGCTGGGGAAAGGGAGGTTTGATCCCCGTGTCAAAACTTGGCCACCTCCCCTAGGACTTATGATGGACAAGCACTGGGAGGAAGGGGAGGCAGCACCTCAGGGTTTGGCCACACTTCTGGGTTGTGATGGGTCCCAAAAATACTGATGACGCAGACAACGCCTGTGGGAGAGGAAAGGTATCTCAGTACAAGGTCACTGTGCATGATGGATCCTGCTTTCTGCCCAGGAGCCCCTTCCCCTGACGCTGTGGCACCTTTGGGGATGACCCGGCCATCTGGGAGCACTACGTCCTGCGTGCAGCAGCGGGAGATGGCCATGACCGGCGGATGCAGCCGCAGACTCTCCTTGATGCACATGGTCAGGAAGGGCAACTGGGCCAGGTCGTCCCTAAGGAAACCCCCAGCCCTTAACAAATATGCAGGGAGCAAAATAGAGGCTACCTGTGTTGCCTCTCTACCAGTATAAAACCCTGATGAATCAAATATGTGAGAATTAGAAAAGAAAAGAATTAGGAAAGTACAGAAGAAAATTTAGCCAGATATCTTTACAAGCTCTTTCTGAGCCAAATGCCACATCCATTGTCTCCAGGAAAATGGTTAAATTTGTGTAAATCTAAATATTCCTTATAGCAAAAGAGCAAAATTAAAATGCAAAGGAAGAAACAAAAGAAACACTTCTAATTGGTTTTAATAAAAATACATTTGGGAGAAAAGGAAGGTAGAAAGTAGACAACATTTACCATTCGATCTCTGTAGGGTCCCGGTCCCTCAGGAGCTCCTGCACCTCCTGCCGACAGCGCTCCTGATGTTCTGGGTGCTTTGCCAGATTGTACAAGATCCAGGAGAGGCCACTGGCTGTGGTGTCATGGCCTGAGGGACATCCAAGCAGGCTTGGGTACCTGGGCTAATTCAGCACCAGAGAGGGTGGACAGCAGCCAGGCAGTGAGGCCCACAGGCAGGATGGGAAAAAGGGAGGTAGGGCTAAGGAAGTGATCCAGGTCCACCTACCACATTCTGACCCTCAGTAATCCCACAGTGGAATCCTCACCCTCAAACATGAAGGTGTCAGCCTCTGCTCGTATGTCCTCATCTGACAGCATCTTCCCATCTTCATCCTGGAGAGAAGGCAGGCCTCTCCAAATCAAACAAGGACCCAGGGCTCCTGATCTAACTTGAGACAATCTCTAAAGATCCATCCTCCATCCAAAACCCAAACCCACTCCCACCAGCAGTCTTCTCTTGGTCCCAATTACTAGAGTCCCCAAACCACAGCATCCTAACTTGGCTTCCTTGTCACTTATTTTAATCCCTGGTGGGAAGAATCAATGATCCATAGATATTGTCATGTTTCTGTATTATGCAGGATGCAGGGTTACACGATGATTGAATGGTGTTACCTTGGAAGTTAGAGATTAATCATTACTCCAAGGACATATGCACCCAATCCAGGTGGTAAATCTAGAGAATCTTATATCCGCCAGAGACATGTGGTGTGCAGACACAGATGTCATCTTTGCACTGAGAAGCTGTTTATAGCCCAGAACAAAGTTCTCACTACCTCTCCCTGTTTATCTCTTTCTTGTTCACTCAGTAGGAGAGATGAGGCAGATTGCACCTGTTTTACATAAGTGCTAAAACTCACGGTGTCCATGTCTTCCTCCTGGGGGGAAAAGCCTGCTGCACATGCAAGAAAAAGCATTACCTGGGCCAGGAAGGGTCTGCTGGAATGAGGAGCCATTGCTACAATCCTATCTGGCTACTGCTGTTGCCATGAGTTATAGAAACTCTGCTCTGATCATATTTTAGTGCAGATATCAACATAGATAGAGAGGCAGATACTGTAGTACAGATACTGTGGTAACATTAACTTGTAATTAGACTAAAACTCCAGCACTTCCTGGTTTCAGATTCATAGTCTACTGCTGAATGTGTTCCAAAGTAATCTCTAAAATATGCCTGCCCTGGGCTTGTCCCTCACTTCCTCAAATACCATTCCAGGCTCCTAAGGGCACCGGGCACCAAGACCAAGTCACTACAGAACTTGTGTAACTTGCATCATTGGCCTGTTATTTTTCTGAGATTTGAATCAAGACCCACTCTACCTCTGAAAGCCATGCTCTTAAATACAGACCTGTGGTCCCAGTACTTGGGAAGTGAAAGCAGGAGAATACTTTCAGGGTAAGAACTCAATACCAGCCTGAGTGACTTAGTGAGAACCATCTCAAAAAACGTAATTAAACTACTAATTTTTTTTTGTGATACTGGGGTTTGAACTCGGGGCCTCGTGCTTGCTAGACAGGTGCTCTACCACTTGAGCCACTCTGCCAGCCCAAATAACCTAATTTTAAAAGATTCATTCTACCTCTGGAGAAGCCCACCTTGGACAGCAGCAACACATCAATGAAGTCCAATGTCTTGCTCTTGGTCTTGGCCAGGAGGAAGTCATCAAGACCCTCATCAGGGAGGGTACGGTGTCGCTCCTGGATGACGGCATCTGTGAATTTATGCACCAGGTGGCAGGCTTTACGGAAGCGCTGCCCATCGGGGGTGAGCTGGTACAGGAAGTCCATGTGCAGAAGTGGTTGTTCATTTCTTTTGGCCACAAGGGCACTGAGCTCCAAGATGGCAGCAATATATTCACTTGGTTTCCTGCAGGATGGGGGCATAACGGGAGGCAACTGCTTAACATTCCTAAATTCAAGGAGCACCTCTCAGCAGCAACTGGGGGTCACTTCCCATCAGGATTTGGAGCATCCAGAAAAGCCGGGATCTACAGAAAGATGGTGGGAATGAGCCATTCTTCATTCTCCACCCTCTCTTCTCTACCTATATTGCATCTCTGTGAGCTGCGCCCATGGCCCCACACCCAGAGCCTAGGGAGAGCATCAGACTCCTCTACTTCCTCTCCTATACAGAAACAGCCTCGGCCCATCTACTGCTGAAACTGTCCACCCAACCCAGACCTCATTCTCTTCCAACTGGATCCTGGCAGCTCCTTCCCTAGTGTCCCTATGTTGATGTCACCTTCATTTAGTATCTACATGAGAGCCAGTGTTCCACACAGCTCAGCTCTGGTCATACCCATCATGCCATCACTTCTGTTTTATAATTTGGAAGTGTACCCTCAAATGTCAGCCTTTGAAAGCTTGATTCCCAGCCCCAAAGGCCTATATCTATTTAAAAGCTTGATCCCGAAATAAAAATAAAATAAAATAAAAGCTTGATCCCAAACTCAGGGTGGTATTGGAAGGTGATGGACCCTTTACAATTTGTGACTGGGGGAGGGGGATATGACATTGAGACATGTCTCTGAGGGAGATATTTGGACATCACCCCCTTTCTGTCTCTCTTTTTACTTCCTACCTCCCATGGGATGAATATCCTCCCCCACCAAGTGCTCCCACCATGACACACTGCCTTGCCACAGGCCTAAAACCATATAGCCAACCAAGAATTAACTATCGTGATTCCAATAAATTTTTTATCCTTTTTAATTAGTTATTTCAGTTACTTTGACACTGTAATAGAAACGAACTGGCACAAGCTGGAAACCTTGAGCAGATCCCTGGCAACCTCAGGATAACGTTTACAGCCCTTGCCAGACTTTTCAATGTCCTGCAGTCTTAGCCTATGCCACACCTACCCCATTTTCATGATGCCTCCTCACTGCCTTCACATATGCTCTGCTCACCACACTCCCTTGTCTTTATGCTAACAATTGCACCACGTGGAAGGATGACTCACACCTCCAGTTTCCTTCCCTTCAAGGCTTTTTCTGAGCTGCATCCTCCAAGAAGGCCCCTCTGGGTCTCTGGACATTCCTCCCTCCCTCACCTCCTCTCTTAGGAGCAGGGCCCAGGTCTCAACACCCTGGGCAGGGACTTACTCCTGACAGTTGCTGTCAAAGCTGAAGACACATTTCTGCAGAGTATCCAAGGTCATGAGGCTGATGTGCTCAAACATGTTCAGACAGGTATTGCCCTTGGAAATTAGACGCTGCCACTTGGCCTGGCCAGACAAGGGGACAGGGATGGGGCTGGGTGTTGGATCCCAAACCCCTCCCCAATTGCAATCACTAGCATGGACTCCCCAGAAATAGCCTCCTGGTCCTTTGTCCCAGGTATCCAACCACAGGGATAATCATATTATACTGGTAGTAAATGCTGTTACTATAGCAGATATAATGTGCTATAGTGAGGAGCTTTGAGCTCAAATCTTAGATTGGTCTCCCATGCTCTGTGGCCTCTTTTGAGCTCTTTCCCCTCCTACAAGTCCCACTTGTCAAGTCTTTCCTTTTTAGTGTATAACCCAGAGCCTTACACAAACGAACACTTGAGTTATGTTCACAGCCCCCACCCTCAAATCTTGAGCAACAGTTGACTTGATTTGGTTTAGTGTCTCATGGAATACTTGCTCCACCATTCCTAGCTTGTCATCTTCATCTTTACTGTGTTGAGTTTATGGGGCTTCTGTGAGAAAAACACAGAAACTAACCCCTTCTGAGAACTTACCATGTGCCAGGGCATGATTCCACTATATCATCTGGATGACCCTTGAGTGGAGATTTTCATCCCCATTTTACAGGTGAGCGAGGAAAGGGAGGATCAAGCCAGAATGATAGACCAGATCTGTCTATGGCTTCTTTGCCCCTCAAGCCTCTGTTGAGGCCCTGGGTTCAAGGGACTCACATGCATGACATTGGTGCTGTCATTGAAAATCTTCACATATGGCTTCAGGATGTTGAAGTGGAAGGCTGGTGTCAGCATACGACGGTGACGGCTCCATTTGTCACTGGAACTCAGCAAGAGCCCATCCCCTGGTAGAGCAGCCATGATTAGTGGGCTAGGGCAATACCTTCCCCTAGCTCCCAAGGCTGTCCCTGGGGCCCTTTCCCTGCAATTACTCACCCAACCAGGGTTTCAGGAAATTGTAGAAGACTAAGTCCTTAAGCGCCACAGCAGCTGACAGAAGGAAAACCATTGGGGGTCATGGAGGAGGGTAGCAGTGCGGGCTCCCAAGCAGAGGACTGCACTTTCCCCTCCAAGCCCAGTATAGCCGGAGGAAGCAGAGTTTAGTGGAAAGAATGGGGAGGCAAGTGCAGATCAGAACAGGCTGTAGCAGCAAGGGGAGCCAAGGCGCATCCTGACATAGCACCACACACATCATCATGCCTTCACAAGGTTCCCACATGGAACATATGGTCTGCCCCACATGAGCACAGCACCTCACTCTAAGACACCCTGTCCACTCTAGCACTCTCTGACATCTTCTGAAATAGACCTGGAATATGTGACACGAACACCCATGAGTTTACATGTTTTGACATAGACACAGCATAGGAGACTTGCCCTGACATAGCTCCACATGGTCTGACATGAACCAACTATGGTCTGATAGACCTCAACCTGCCCAGCGGACAAGCAACACACCAGATTAAAATGGTCACATTCATTCCCTTGATGTGGCCTTGAAATGAACCAACTGGACCTGAGACATGACCTGGATGTACCCTAAGACTTAAACTGCCTTGGACAAATAAGGTATCTGCCATTTTTCAGGGGGAACTTCAGTCCCAACTTCAGACAAGTCCAGGCATGGCTTAGACATGACCAGCAGGCAATAATGGCAATTACTATTGCTGCTCAACAGAAAGCAGACCAATCCTGACATGCCTCCCTATCCACGGCCCAAGACGAGCCCCACATGTGACGATCTTCAGATGATCCCACATGTCCACCAGGGGTAACCAGCCAAACATACCAGGTGTAACCAGGTTACAGGTTTAATGTAAATGTGACAAGAGTTGGCCTTATTGCTGGTGTGGCCATATGGAAGACTTCATAGTAAATGATAGAGACAACAAGCAGACACGACCAGAGGAGAGACAGGTGGACTGCAGATGAGGCAGACAGGGACATCAGTACCACAGCACCTCCTGCCTGTACTTGAATCACCTACTTAGCTGGAGGCAGCTCAGAGACCTCAGTGGTGGGCAGCTGGAGCCAGTGTAATGTCCATCTTTAGCAAACAGCATGGGAGTTATGGAGGTGGGGGTGGAAGACGGGGATGACTTGCATGCCAGGGTCTCTGCCACCAGCAGCACACATCCCTGGAGGTGCTCGCCAGGCCCTGGGTATATAGGACACCTGCCTACAAGCTCTAGATTTGTAGAAGAACAATATGGACTCAATGCCTGCTTCTCTAGTCTGCCATTGAGAAAGATTGCAGTACAGAAAGCCATCCAGAGCCCTAGGATTCTGCCCAGTCACTAGTCCTCACTATGCTGACCTCTGCCTGGGCTTCCTCCAATACCCTCAGAACACAATAATCCCTGTCTTCAGTTGCTGGGACATAAGTATTCCTACTCCATTCGGATCCCAAACACCACATTTCCATAGCCTCCTCCTTCCTATTTTCTATAGACCATGGCATTAAGGATGAAGTCACTTGCCCACTACCTCCTAAATAGTAAGGGGTCTGCCTGAGACCTTGGTGTGGATCCTTCTGACTCAATAGCCTCAGTTCTCAACCACTCAACTTTTTTGGAGTTCCCTAAAACAATGGCACTGGAAGTCCCAAGCCTGCCAACACTTGGCAATAGAAATGCCAAAAGTTGAAAGAGGACTTTGGACTTTGATTTGGGTCACGACAATTAAAGTGAATTACAGGCCACTTATGGGAACTGGGGGAAAGATGAGATTTCCCATGGAACTGAACTGTGAGTCATCATGAGATCCAAAGGAAAAGGCTGCCTTGAAAGGGAAAGCTTCACACAGGAAGGTAAAACTGACAGAATACAGGTTGTCATTCTTATACACTTGGATGCAACTGTGACTGAACCACCTACTCTAGTCTACAGTCAAGAAGTTCCCTTTCTTTCCTTAGACCACAGCAGGGTGGCTCTCCACCACTTACTACTGACAGAGAACTTGGCAGGCAGAGAGAGCCAGAAACCTGCCCTGGCAGGTGTCAGAGCCATGGTCCCTGTGGGCTGCTGCCCCTTCCCAGGCTCAGCATGGCCAGGCTAAGGATAGGAAGGGAAGAGAACACAGAGGGGAGCCAGGTTGGTATTGGGTGTCCTAGGGGAGATTCCTGGAGCCCAGAGCAGGAGGACACAGGATAGAGTAGCAGGAACTGACTCAGTACAGTGGGAGAGCATGGGAATAACAGACCAGACTCCCCACTTGCCACAAGCTCTCTTGTTGCTCTGTGAGTTGGTCACATTGATGACAGGTATAAAAGAGGCTTCAAAAGCTGGTGATGCCTACTACACAACCGAACCTGCTTTAAACAGTCCCACTCATCCTTCCAGACGCCCCTGCCTCTGTTTTCCTTGAACCCCACCTTCTGACTAGCAAAGAATTCTCTTCTCTTATAATTCAGCAGTCTAGTCTCTCTTTCTGCCCATTCCTGAATCCATGAGGTTGTGGATGTCTCTGACCTGATCCTCCTATTCTAGAATGTGGGCTCCCCCAAGATACGGTGTTGGATTGAGGAACTCTGAGAATTCCAGGAGAACACCACAGTGGGGTAAGTGTTGACAGCAGTGGAGAGAGATACTAGAAAGGGAGCTGGTGAAGACATGAAGGAAAGATGGAGGGAGTTGAGAGAGAGCAGGGAAGGAGGGGTGGGGCTAACACAGAGCCATACAGAAGCATGGGATCATAACTAGAAGTACTCAAATGTGCCATGGCACCTACCACCAGCCACTCCCCATGAATACCTGAGGCATTGAGGACAGATCGGACGATGTCAGGGTGGCACAAATTGATGAGGGGGAAGATGGGACCCATCCACACCATAAAGCCCTGGGGGTAGGTGCCCACTAGCTGAGTCACTTGCTTCAAGCCCTGTTCCGTGGGGGGGTGTCTGGAAATAAGACAGGTTGTTACCTTCTGTGATGGTTCATTTCAGTTGGCATGTTGCCTTGGTTAAGGGGTATAAGGATGGAGGGTGAAACCCCATTTATGTGTCTGTGAGTGTTTCAGATGTGATTAGCATTTGCTTCCTCAGATTGAGTCATAAGACCCAGCATCTACAATATAGCTGGCAGACTCAATTCACTGAGGATGCAGATAAAATCAAAACATTAGAAGAAGGGAAAATTCTCTCTCACTTCCAGAGCAGCACATCCATCTTCTATAATTGAACATCAAAACACTTGGCAATCTGAGTATCAGGGACTGAATGATGACTTTGTCCCATGAATGACTCCAGTTATAATAAAAGTGAATCACATGTCATTTATGTGAACTCTGATGGCAAAGTGAGGTCTCCCTTGAACTGAATTTCTGCAAGTTATCAGGGGACTTGCAGGAAAAGGATGCCTTGAAATGGACTGTCTCACACAGGAAGATAAAACCAAGATAAGAGAGATGGATTACGATGTCATTCTTTGACACCTGGATACACCTGTGCCTGAAGACTACCTACCCTGGTCTACAGATAATAGAGTCCCTTTCTTTGTTTAGATCACACCAGGGTGAGTTTCCATCATTCATAACTAGTAGAGAACTTGGTAGACAGAGAGAACAAAGAACCTGCCTTTTCAGGTGTCAGAACCATGTTCTCTGAGGATTAGTGCAGCTTCCCAGGCTCAGCCTATGCTGTCCAAGAATGGGAAGTGCAGAGTGCAAGGAATGGATCAATGTTTGTGGTAGGTGTCATAGCGGAGATTTCTGGGACACTGAGTAGCAGGAACTGATGAAGCAGAGTGTGAGGGCATGGGAATAGCAGACTAGTCCCCTTTCCACAAGCTGTCTAGTTGCTCTGGGTATGAAGGTGGTCATAGCAATGGCACATGTAAAAGAGGCCTCAAAAATCTGCTGATGCTCCCTAAATAACTGGACTGTGCTTTAAACAGTCCCATTCATCCTTCCAGATGCCCCTGACTCTGTCTTCTTTGGAACCCCACCCTCTGACTAGAAGAGATCTTACTTTTCCTGTAATTCAGCCATCACAGCCTGTCTCTCCTGCCTGTTCCTGAATACATGAGATAGTGGATGTCTCTGTCCTGATCCATCACTTCTAAAATGTGGGTTCCCTGAGGAGTGGTCTTGGATTTAGGCATCCTGGAGATGGTTGAGGACACCAAGAAGGAGCCCATGGAAAAGAAGTTTGTGAAGACAAGAAGGAAAGATGAAGATGACAGATAAGAGGGAAGGAGAGGATGGGTTACTGTAAGGTTTGCACAGAAGTGTGAAGTGGGTGCGGCAAGTCCTCAGATGTGCCAAAACACCCACCACCAGCAGCTCCCCTGGGTACCTGAGATATTGAGGACAGATTGGACAATGTTAGAGAGGCATAAGGTGATAAAGGGGAAAATGGGGCCTATCCAAGCCATAAAGCCTCAGGGGTAGGTGCCCACCAGCTTAGTCACTTCCTTCATGCCCTGCTCTGTGGGAGGTACCTGCAAACAAGACAGAATGGTCACCCACTGAGATTGTTCATTTCAGGTATCAAATGGCTGAGGTAAATGACAGGCAGATAGCTGGTGAAAAAAGATGTCTGGGTATGTCTGTTAGGGATTGACATTTATATCAGTAGATGAGCAGGAAGACCCACCCTCCACAGTGTGGCTGATATCATCCCGTCCATTGAAGACTCAGATAAAACAAAAAGTAGAGGAAGGGAAAGTTGGCTCTCACTTCTGGAACTGGGACATCCATGAGCTCCTGCCCTCAGACATCAGAACTACAGGTCTTTGAGCCTTTGGGCTCCAGTAATTATATTACCAATCCCTACCAACCCCCAGATCCCCAGATCTCAGACTTTTGGTCTCACACTGAATTCATTGCATCACCAACTTCCTTGGTTCTCAGCTTCCAGATGTCATATTATAGGTCTTATTGGTTTCCATAATTACATAAGTCAATACCCATAGTAAATAGTAAATACACCTTTTCTTCTCTCTCTTCACACACACACACACACACACATTTGGATATATATATATATATATATATATATATATACATTTGGATGTATGTAAGCACATACACAGATACATGCACACACACACACACACACACACACACACATATATTCCACCTCTGTGGAGGCTTGTGGCCATAGAACATTCTTCAGAAAAACTGAAACCCCAAGTCTGGGTTGACACACAAGCAAAAAATGGTCCTGGCCAATTGCAGGTGACTTATACCTGTAATCTTAGCTACTCAAGAAGTAGAGATCAGGAGGATCTGGTCAAAGCCAGCCCAGGCAAATAGTTTGCCAGACCTTATCTTGAAAATATACGACATAAAAATAGATTAGTGGAATGAGTCAAGTGGTAGAGTACCTGCTTAGCAACTATGAAGTCCTGAGTTCAAACTGCTAAAAAAATGTCTAAGGCATGTAGCAGACCCAGGACAACAGCGCCCATCAGAAGGGCTGAAGTCCAGCAGTGGAGAATGTGAAAATACCATTGACCCTCACTGTGATAGCCTTCCCTGGAGGCCCCTAAGAGGTGCACCAATGTGGATGGAAATGCATACAAAACAGACTAGGGGAAGGAGGACAGGGATGGGAGAATAGCTTGTGCAGCACGAGAAGGATTTTAGACCACAATCAACCCCAGGCCAGCCCTGTGGTCAACTCACCAGGCCCAGGTGACCAATGAGCCAGTTCTGTTTGGGGGGCTGAGGGAAACATTGGAGGCGACGAGAGTTTTCATAGAAGGCGTAGATCTGGGTCAGGACATGAGCCAGGAGCCAGGAGGCCCCAGCCAGCAGCAGGAGCAGCCATGGGGAGGCGGCCACCGACCCCAGGCCCAGCCAGGACAGGCTCAGCTGTGGCATCCTGCAGAGCAGATGGACAGAGAGTGAGTGCCTGAGTCTCAGGAGAGGAACAGGGAATACCAGAGACACATGACAGGGTTGCAATGACTGTGAGTGTAGGGAGCAGGGCAGGAAGGGAAGGGAATTGCAAGGCAATGCATGGAAAGAGGCAAGAGAAGGAACAGGAGGAGGAAAGGGAGGATGAGGAAGAGGATAGATCAAGGATGATAAAAAAGACAAGGTGGATTAGGAGGCAATGATTATATACCAGACCAGCCAGAATGATAGAGAGGTGGCTAGAGATGGTCACCAGGACACTATTGGCCTTCTGAGACAGCTGACTCCTGTTGCTGCGCAGCTTAAGCAGCAGGCACTGTGGGACCCTATCAGCTCTGAGCAAATACTTCTCATCTCGAGTCAAGCCCCTTTAGCAGCCCTCCCACCTCAGCCCAGCACCTTCTTTCAGGAGTAGCTTCACTGCCTCCTCTCCTCTTTTCTGGGACTCCCTTGTCTCTGGCTCCAGACCTGGAGGAGGTTGTGGGAGGCTGGGCTGGGCCAGACCGTCTCCTCCCAGCCGGGGCAGGTAGCCAAGGCAAAGAGGTGGGGCCAACCTAGTGCAGAGGGAAATAAACTGAGCCCTTCTCACATGGGATGGTGTACAAGATTGGGGAGCAGACAAGGTAGATTCTGAGCCCCATTGTTTATAGCCACCTAGGCCCTTCAAAGTACAGGGTGCAACAGATAAAACCCTGAACATGGGAGTTAGTTCAGAGAGCAGGAGGCCTGGGCCAGGCCAAGCCATGGTTCACATAGGTTAAGGGTATATGAGGGGGAGAGAAAATGGGGGTGCTCTAACCAATGTACAGTTAAGTCTAATGGGAATTATCATTATGAATCTTTCCTGTATGATGAATACTTCTCTGTATGATGAAAATTTTTATAATAAATAAATAGTCTCACATTTTACATGTCAGTAAATTTTATGCATAATAAATCTTGACGTTCTTGGAATTAAGAGTTAAAATGTTGATAAGGAAAGAGTGAATGATGAAAAGTATGGTGGATATATTTTGTATTCTATATGAAAATAGAATGATGAAATCTAAGGGGGGGAGAGGAGGGAAGAAGGACAATGATGGAGGTGTGAATTTAATTAAGATATATTATAAGCACATATGTAAATATCACAATACAGCCCCCTGTACAACTATTATATGCCATTTAAAATAAATTTAAAAAGAAAATAGAGTAGAAGGAAATTTATGAGTGCAGGGTGACTCCAGTGGTGGTGCTTACACAATTCTAGGCATTTGTCACAAGTCAGATCTTAAACTTAAACGTAAGTTTCTTCATCTTGAAAATGGAGAAATGGACAAGTGAAACACCAATATTTTTCACTGTGTATTTTATTCTTTACGGTAGTGAGTGTCTTTCATGTCAAAAAATATTACATTGAAAAAGTGTAGACATCACCTGCCAAAGAGCCTCACCACTAGGTCTGAGTGGTCCCCAGCTGTTCTTATATAACTGGGACTGAAGCCACTATGAAATCACTTCTTCATAGATTAAGGTGCAACCTCTGAAGCCAACCTGATCAAACTCAGTCCCATCCATGACTCACTCACCCAATGACCATGAGCAAGCAAGTTAATCTTTATGATCCATAGGTCCACGTGAGGATGCTATCAGCATGTACTTAGGAAGCTGCATCCTCACCTTCTCCCTTCTTACTGGTCTGCTTTCCTATTATTATTTCTTTGGTGGTACTTGGATTTGGACTCAGGGTTGTCCACTTGCTAGGCAAGTTCTACCACTTTGAGTTCATTCTCAGAAGGTTAAAAAGTCAGTCTTTTTGGAGTTTCCCACCAATATATTCTAGAAAGACATCAAACCCCACCAAAATCCTACATGAATATATGTGCATCCTCTGCTAGAAAATGAAATCTTGGTCTAGAGGAGTGATAGAGCGCCTTCCTAGCATGTGTGAGGTCCTGAGTTCAAAGCCCAGTACCACCAAAAAAAAGAAAAAAAATTTATTTGAGGAAGAGTAACCCAATTTTCACTGACAATGATATCTGAAGTCATCAATGCGCATAAAGATAACTCATGCAAATGTGAGCACTTTGAAATTGCTATTAAAGTACTTGAAATTATTTTCTAATATTTTGCTTAAAAACAAAACAAAGAGCTGGACACTGGTGGCTAATCCCTGTAATCCTAGCTTCTCAGAAGGCAGTGATCAGGAGGGTCACAGCTCAAAGCCAGCCCAGGCAAATAGTTTTCGAGACCCTATCTGGAAAAAAATCCGTAACAAAACAGGGCAGGTGAGTAGCTCAAGGTGTGGGCTGTGCGTTCAAACCTCAGTACCTCAAAAAGAAAAAAAAAAAAGGCTAGAACTAAGTACAAACATTTAAGGCCACATGATATGATGCTTTAATGTCAAGAAATGTGTCAAGGTGGTGGAAATGTAGTGAAACTGCAGGTTTTCCATCTTGACAGAGTCACAAATGTGCCCTTAATCCTAGTCTCCCTCCTCAACAAACACCTCCCATGGTCTGGTTCCTGGAAAATGTACCAACAGCGTGGGGACCCTGTGGTCAACAAGCAGCAGTCAGACTCTTGGACTCAGAGACGCCAGTCCTGCCTCCCCCACCCTGGGATCCCTACAGTTCCCTTGCGCCCCCTTCTATTGCTCAATGAGTCTCAGACACAGGTGACAGAACAGGTTTATTACAAGGATTCAGCATGGTGGTGGGTGGGGTTTGAGGTCGGAGGGCAGACGCAGGTGACAGCGTGGTCTTATCCCTGGGAAGCTGCATGGTGGGTGGGTGTCCACGGTCGGGTCCCGCAGGCTGTGGTCACCGAGCGCCCGCGCGCAGCGGCTCCACCCGCAGCCACAGCCCGCCCTCTGCGCGCAGGATCAGCTCAGGCTTCCTGCGCGGCTCCGCGTGGTCGGGCAGCACGCGGAAGCGCAGCAGCGTCAGCGCCAGCGCCACCTTCATCTCGCTCATGGCGAACGTCTGTCCGATGCAGTTCCTGTGGACGGTGGGAGATCTGACTGCCCGGGACCCCACTCGGACCCCAAGGTACCGACCCTGGCCGTGGAATGCGCTCCACCAGACCAACCCTTGGGATGGCAAGGGCCTAACGTGCTGGGACCCCATGTGGCAGCCCATGTCCCAGGCCTGGTCCACACCCCAACTCAGAGCAGCAGGTGAAGAGGGGCTCTGAGTGCCCAGCGAACCACTCTGAATTAGCCAGCCTCATCCTCTAATCTTCTCACGGTATCTGCTCAGGTGAGGAAGGAAGAACACCTAGGACACTGACCATCCCATCCCAATCTCCCTTGTCCAGTGTCAGCCCAGTCCCCCGCCCCATCACCACAACCCCACCTCATCCCCTCTGGTCTCACCTGGGCCCCGCAGAGAAGGGAATAAAAGCCAGAGGTGACCTGTCCTTGATGTTTTCTGGGTCGAAACGGAAGGGGTCATAGACCTGCAGGAGAAAAAGAGACAAGGCTGCAGGGTGGAGTCTCCAGCACAGTCAGAGAGACAGGTGTGTCTGTGCTGGGAAAAATGAGGTCTGATTTTCAACATCTGCCCTCTTTCTTAGAACTCAGGGGCTAGACCACAATTTCTGGTCAGGGCAAGAAGCATCACCTCCGGGTCCGGCCACACTGCTGGATTGTGATGGGTCCCGAAAATACTGATGATGCAGATAACACCTGTGGGAGAGAAGGGAGTTGTCAGGACAAGGCCTGGCTGCCTGATGAAACTGGCTACCCAGAAGAATCCTCCCCAGAGCTCAGGTACCTTTGGGGATGACCAGGCCATCAGGGAGTGCAATGTCCTGGGTGCAGCAGCGGGAGATGACAAAGACTGGGGGATGCAGCCGTAGACTCTCCTTGATGCACATGGTCAGGAAGGGCAACTGGGCCAGGTCATCCCTAAAGAAACTCCACCCCTTAACAAGTATCTAGGAAGCAAAACAGAGGCCACTGGCCCCTATGTTGCCCAGTGGAATCTTTTCTCCCTCCACTAAATAAGCCTCAGATGAATAAAATAGGTGCAAATTAGAAAAGCAGAAATTAGAAATTCAATCTGAGACTGTTCTTCCCCTTAATTGGGAGTTCCTGGAAGGCAGGTCCCTGGGCTGGGTCGTTCCCAGGCCTCTAGAGCACAGAATGGGGTTGGGCACAGAACTGGGGATCAGAGGGCACTGTGGAAGTATTTGCTGGATGAGGCTGTCTGGATCTGGATGATGTAGGATCAGGACCACAGAAACAAGACTTTTACTCCCTGGTGTCCCCTGTGAATCCATGGCCAGGACACTAGGGTAGGAACTTTTCCCAGGAAAAGGTGTTTGATAAAATGCTCTTTGAGAGAAGAGGATTGGAGAAGAAGGGAAGTTTGTATATTGAGCACATGCAAAGTGGCATTATCTGCCCTCATATTGTCATCTTGTCACTAATTCTCTTTCTGTCTCAAAGTCTACAACACTCCCCTTGCTGGTCAGCCTGGTAACCAGGCTCTGCCTCTGACCTTCATTCCTATGCCCATCAAGCAATAATGGAAAACTTCACAAAAACAGCTTCCCTTTCTCACCTGGGAGAAAAGCTGATGAGAGGGGCTAGGAAACAGGCCACCAGGACCTGCACTCACCATTCGATGTCTTTAGGGTCACGGTCCCTCAGGAGCTCCCTCACCTCCTGTCGGCAGCGCTCCTGGTATTCTGGGTGTTTTGCCAGGTTGTATAGGACCCAGGAGAGACCACTGGCTGTGGTATCATGGCCTGAGGGGCAGCCATGCAGGCAACTTTGTTGTGCTGAAGCACCCAGAGGATAGACAGCACCAGGCAGGATGGGGAAAGGGGAGCATGGACAGGTCCACCCACCAGTCCCTGGGATAGAGAGACCTGTTCCCCTCTCTAGACTAACACTTGTACCCTCACCCCCAAACATGAAGGTTTCAGCTTCTGCTCTTATGTCCTCATCTGACAGCATCTTCCCATCTTCATCCTGA